GAGTAACTTATTGGTTGAATAGTCATCCCAAGTGGAGAAGTAAGTTATTCAAAAGACAGTTGATAGCTAAAATTTGAAAACATTGATCTTTGTATCAAATTCTACTTAATTCGATTCGTTTAAATCGGCCAACGTTTTGAAACCATCTCAATGCTGCAATTTTTGTAACAGCTCTGAGACAGGGTTCTCTCCCTTTTGAAAAAAGATATCAGCGTTTTACGCGCTTACTAACGATGTAGAAATCTTGAGTACAATGTGATTCAGTATATTTCTATTGTTTATACGATATACGCCAGCAAAAGTCATTTCGAGTGCGACTGCAGATTCACTGGATACCTTGCAGTGTAACGGAGATTGAAAAACAAATGACCAGAATATTCTTCGCTGTACACCTGTGCAAACAGTTTTCCCAGTTATCATATTATTATTACTATCAATAATAAAAATAAATTATTTTCACTGCATGTCTTCTCCCAAAACCTTATTTTTCTGGGTGTTAACAAACAATTTCTAACATTCGAGTGTAGCAAGACACAAAACCGGACTTAAAACTATCTGTATTTAAGCTCATGCACTAATTGTTTGTATCACGTTTAAAGATTTTCTTTTAGGTTTCCATCATCCCAGGTCTTAAATTGGTTCAGTGTCAAACAAACAAAAACGGTCATTTATGCATTTTTCCACATTTCGCGGCAGTGCTTTTATAAAAATTTCCAGTGAACGTGAGATCAGTTAACCAATAGGTGTATGAATACCTTTATCCACTTTTCAAATCTCAATTTAATATTTTATCAAGTTTAAACTAATACCGATTCATTTAGGATTTTTAGAAAAAAGCATAAACAGAAAATATACCCAAGAACCAGCTATCCCAACAGTCACTATGGTGCTGTCAAAAGAAATAGTCATGAACTGTAAATGTGTTAACATACAGATACAGTTTTTTCCAGATATTTTTTGCGTTTTGACTTAACAAAACGCTCTTTAATTAAAAAAAGAGAAGAAAAAAAACTCGATCACAAGTTATCATGTATAAATAAATGATGATCCAAGATTGTTGTGGTTTCATCTTCTAAAAT